CTCAGTTAAACCCTCCTTTGTTTTAATTCTGTATCTGTTGTTTTCATACATATCTTTTATTATATCAAACATTTTACCTGATATGCCATTTTTATGAAGTTAGAAATAGAGACCATTATGCCACACACTGTCAAACGCCTTTCTAAAATCTATGAAGCAAGCATAGAGTTTGTTTGCATAGACGTGAAGATTGTGATATCTTTTGAATGGCTATTATTATGGAGATATTTTTGTACAATTGTTTTTAATATAAAGAGATTGTCTGTGGTCCTGCAGTTTTTCCTAAAAACCGAATTGATGCTTTGAAATAATATGTTTCTTTATAAGAATGCTATTAGCCTAGTGTTCAGGATACTGGTAAACAGTTTTTCTAAGCAGCTAGATACTGCAGTTCCTCTGTTAGCAGTAAATATATGGGTAACAAAAACCAAAACGTAGTACGTATATGAGCACCCAATATAGCACCCAACGCCACACAGAAGAACATCTTCCACAAAACCATATCTCCAGAAAAATCACCGACAGAACAAGTACAATGGTCTCAAGGCATACAGTTAAGGATCATACAGTGTTCTCTAGTAGAAAATTGTAATAGTTTGAGAGACAAGACAAGAACTGTATATGCCTGGCATAGCGAATGACGAGAGGGCGTCATACTATATAAGAATTATAAATACATAATTCATAGAATTCACGAATGAAATGAGAAATGTGTTCTACTCTCCACGGTAATGACAATGCATTTAGAATTTATTTTGCAATTTAGACTTGATAACGACACTGGAATAATCAACAGATACAGTGCCTCGGGGTAAGGCATGCGCGGATTCAGGCGAAGGCGCGTCACCCCCCTTTCAGCCCGCCAACAAATTACAAATCAATTGACAAACCCAGCCAACGTCAATAGGAGCGCCCCTTACCGAATTTCTGGATCCGCCAGTGTAAGTTTGGTAACCAACAGCCGGAATACTCAACTGGTAATTGTTCTTGCGTAAGGAACATTATCTGTTCATTAGCTTCCCGGAAAATGTTTACTTGCACATTAGTCTTGTTAATTTTTTTCACACCAGTTGGTCCTAATTATAACTTACACAATCATACTTTCATCAATTTGAAGATCTTTCCCCTCAATCTCAGACAATACAGGCCCATTTATACCCCCTCCCAATCACCAAGATTTAAAGAGGGAAATCACCAATCAACAGGAATGCCAATTACCTATTCACAAATCACCAGGATTTGTTGTTGAATATAAAAGCACTTATTTCTGTTTAAAACTATCTATCTTCTCCGTTTCTAAACTGCTGTTCGCGTCATTACTGTAGTCATCCCTTTGTGCAACAGTTTCCCTAGTTGCTTTCTGTTTAAGTGCCAACCTATCTTGCACACCCTGCTTCTCTTTGTTCAGTAATTCATGAAATGTCTCTTCTTTCGTGTTATCTACTTCCTCAGTTTCTGAACCACTGTTTTCATCACTACTATATTCTTCTCTCTGCTTATCAGTTTTCTTAGATGTATCCTTCTTAACAGCTGACCCATCTGACAAATCATGTCTCTTTCTATGCAATGTTTCACCAATTGGAATCTCCTTCTCGTACAGATTCAGTGGCAATGTACGTGCTTTATACTTTGTGTTTTCTTGTCGGATTTATCTTTGTCTAACAAATTTCCCATTGTCAACAGCCCAATTTCTCATTTTCTCTTGATCGTCTTTTCTCATGCATACAACTGGTAATGGTTGAAGCTTTGGAATGTCTCAAAATGAAACTTGGTTTGTGGCTGGTGGATAAAACGATGAGGGATTGGTGAAGTAATAGACTGATCAATTACATGATCTTTTCAAACTTTCTTTAATTGTGTTTCCAAATGATTTGGCATACTGATACAAAATAAACAACTAAATAATGTAAAGGTGACGAAAAATAGCTTGTCAAATAAATATAATATCAAAGAAAGCTTAGAAAGAACTCTCGTGTGCTGAGTAATGGAGACACATTAAAAATTAATTCAAAATTACTTGTACTTGAGATATTGATGGAAAAGCTTAACACTAATTATGCAAATCAGATAATTAATATGAAAAGATTTTAGTGTTAAACTAATAAGGTCCGTGCAATGCAACAGACCATCCATGTTTCATTTAAATGAGATTAAAACCCACAAAATATACTATATTATTCTAATCAGAGAATTAATATCAACAGATTTTAACCTGAAACTAATCAGGTTTGTACAAATAATGACTTTAACTCGTGATCTAGAAATGAATAGAAATCAGTAAATATGAGAGGGTAGTGGGTTCATAAGTATAAAAATTGTTATGTCCCTGTAGAACAGGAGAAACAGTCTTTGACATTTTTTCCTTATCTACTATACATTAAAAGTGATGAACCCTTTATTGTTCCATTGGAAAACTATAATTTATCATGTAATAAAGCGTTTTAGCATTAAAAGACGTACATGAAACCTCAAGTATTTCCTAGACACACCAGCAAACCGCAGGCGCTCGGAACGTTTCTTGGATAATAAAAAAAATGCCTAAAGTACATTGCCTTGGCATGTTGTCATTTAACTGTTACTAACCATGGTCATTTCAATTATAGCAAACATCTCTCTCACTCAAACATATCGACGTATAACTACAACACAACGTGCTGCTTAACGCGACATGTGAAGATATACAATTCGACAAACTGTCGCAAACAACATAACTATCGCTACATTGATGCAAGTGGCCAACATTATTTGCATAAAAACAAATGATTATATCCAACTGTTTGTCATTAATTCATTGAAATATATTAGTACATATGACATGATGGAGAAAGTATTCTTCAAATGTCTTGAACTCGAATTTAAGTTATGTAATATAATATTCAGTATTTCATTTGAATATGTCTAGAATATGAAGGTTAGTTAAAATGTTACTATATAGCACAGTTGGGTAATAAAGATTATTACTTTGTTGTATTGTTTGTTTCAGACTTTTTGGGGCGTTGTAGCTAGGGTAACTCAAGTTTTTGAATTTTGTTGATTATTGGATAGATCGTCAAGCTGGTTTCAAATCACGACTTCAATGATATATTAATCTGTATGAAGAATTCGAGCTGTGGTATTTCTTATCTACGTTGATTTTCGTAAGTTTGATCGAATTTGATCAAATTGTGTTTGAAAAAGTTGTCAATGTCTTGATGGCCGACTAGTAATGAAACTACTGAAACATATTTTAAGAAAAATGTCAAATTTCAATCATTTGGCACACAAATCTAGCATATACTGTCGCGACAAGTTTGAATAGTACATGTATATGTCAATTAATCTCAGAGACAGTAGATGTTACTGTATTTGACTGCAGTAGCATGTTCAATCAAGCACCAACCCCCAAACTGTTGTAGAATTTCTATTTTGACATAGTGCCCATCTATCCATACCATTCCAAATTTGACTGTCTAGTCTTGAAATCCGGTCATTGACCATCATTTTACTTTTCCAAATAATTAAATTACAGTGTATATTGTAGCAATCAACTATGATGGAAAAACCTCAGAAATCCACCATGCCAAGCATTAATATGTTTCTCCTCCTCACAAATTATGTAAGACCAACAGTGAATACACAGTACTTATAGTTCTCAAAAAAACATGTTTACTTATATTTCCAAAAAAAAAAAACAATATTTAGTATGTGTTATTTTTTTCTGAAAACACAAATATAAGCAGATGCTAAACCAACTTTCAAAAAGTGTGTTTCAACTTTGATCCAACAAGCAACAGAGGGGCACATTTCAACTACAGCTTCTTCATCTTTGTCAGTGATATCTTTATTTTGATGTTCAGCACTAACAACTCTCCAGAGACGAGACTTCTCTCCAGTCATTACCTTGATCAAATAATCCACCATAACTGCACTGGTCAGCAGAACAGCCCTTCCATTCGATTTGACAACTCTTTAACAAAAGCAAGTAAATGAAAGGATGAAATTAAAAATTAGGTTTGATTATTGCAACATTTTTTAAATTTAGTTTTATTATATGATTTTTGATCAAGTTTCATGAAAGGTTTTGATGTTGCTCATATTTTGTGAATATATATTTCTCATTGCTATGACAGAATACCATATGTGAAAAGAAATTGAGTCACGAACCAAACTTTCTAGATATACATGTTTTTAATTGAAGTTGATTACATAGTTAACACATTGAATATCATGGGAGGGGGGTGATCATTTAGTTTTTTGAAACTCAATTTAATGAAAGAATTTACATGGAATCCCTTTTTATTTTAAATAAAAAAGGATCTCCAGACCAAACTCATTTCTCAAGATGATGCACATTGCTCAGCAGAGAGATTTGAACTCTCTGATCTTGTATATATTAAATGAAATAAATAAATAAATGGGAATATCAACATTTTTATTCCAACACTGAACTTCTAAAAAGAGGATCAAAGTTAAACTGAAAATTACAAATTACTTAAAAGTGTAAAAAATATATCTATAAATAAAACTTGAGCGTTAATTTCATCACCAACTAGTACATCATATAATCATTTCTCACCTTGTGACTTCACCTAGAAAAGATAAGTAGAATTGTTTTATATCTATATGGGTATTATGATGCAAACCAAATGGTAGATCACAAATAACTCTGTCTACACTATTCATCTTCAAAGGAATGCCTGTAAAAAAATGAAATGTTGACTCCAGGTTAACCCTCGATAACTTTCAAAATTATTTCCACAAATCCATATTTCTCTCTTTAAATCTGTATTAAAACTATTAAGTTACCTTTGGCATCTGTCTGCATGAGTTGCATCGTTTCATTCATAGAGGCATACTGAATATTCAATGCCGCTTGTTCCAACTGTCTACTATGATGATCGCAACCAATGCAATAAACCTTCTGTCATATAATTTTGAATAAAAAAGTTAATTAACATTAATGAACAGATTATAACAAATGTATGAGATAATATATCTAAGAAAATATAAATATATATAAGAAAATAAAACTTTCCTCAATATTATTTTGACTTATGTTACAGCACAACACAGTAGAGATCTTACGAATGAACAAATGCAAAGGTTAATAAATGAATAAATAAATAAATAAACAAGCTAGGAAGACTGATTCATTAGTAATGAATTAGCCACATTAATTGACAAACAATAAAATAAATTAATAATAAACACACAAACAAAGACTTGCTAACCTTACATGACTTCAATGCTTCCAGTACAATAATGCCAGAGGCACACATTGGATCCAACAGAAGATGACCAGATTGTAATTCAGCCAATTGACACATGCACCAAGCTATGGTAGATCGCATACCCGTTTTTTTAATGTAGGACCTTTTAGATAAGTAATCATGGGTTGTAGGAAAGCCAATCAAAAAATCTGTTGGTGTGACAAAGACTAAAATCTGTAAAAGAGAACAACTTGATTATAACTTAAAAACTTATTGGTTATAAAAATCAGAGACAATGAATGTGTGATAAAAAACCAAAAGTATCAAAAACATCACCTCTAGTTGTGGCTTCCTTACATCTATCTGCCAACCAAACTTACGTGCCAAACAAGTACCCATACAGATTGCAAATTCCTGTATATACAAACAAATTTGTAATTATGACAAAGCCAACCAACAATTTATTTGACGATTAGCAGAAAGATTGGTACAGAGTCAATATATCTACCAAGCCACCAGCATTATGTGGATGTTACCCAATTTCGGCCGGATGTTGGCATCACCTACATCCCGCCTGTGCTACATCCTGCATAAAATCAACTGCATTTTATGTAAGTGGACATTATTTATGTAAAATGCATGAAATTAAGTTTGTAATTTTCAATCAATATATGAGAATGTCAATTTTTGTTCCTTTAATTTTATTTGAAAAAAGTAAAAAATGTGGGACATTACAAAAAACAATATATTTGCCCACATTATATAATATTATAATTAGCTAATCTGAATAATTCTGGAACTCCTTACCTGAGGTGAATGGTATTTTTTAGCTTTCCCTACACACTTACATGTGATTCGAAATCTAACATTTTCAGTGGCAGTGTTATTATAACTCAGTTTATCAATCTCACTTGTTTCCATGGAAAGATGCTGGTTTTCATCATCATCTTTTAGCATTCCACCTCTTTCTATACTTTTACCAGAATGTGCATCCATGGCAACATCACTATCAGAAGTTTCTGTTCTCATTCTTTTATCTAAATGTTCAGAGTCATTCTCTCTCTTCCGCCAAACATCATCATTATTACAAGTCTCTCCAGAATTACATGATTCTGCTTCAACACTGCATTCGTCCTCAATATTATTTTGTCTTTCTTGAAAATGTTTCCAAACTTGTAAACTTTTCTCCCAGGTGGAAATGCTTTCAGTTATTTGTTTGATCTTTTTTCTACACTTTCCTGTGAATGATAAATCATATATTTGTACCAGATGTTATAGTCAATCATATGAGAGTGGGAGGAAAGGACTGAGGAGTTGAAAAATTGAGAAGGATGAGTACGGCAAGTACTATGCTTTATCATTTCACCAAATATTTTCACCTACCACAATATGTTTTTAGATTAAACACTAAAGTTGACTTTTGCCACAAAAGAAATCTTCAAAATGTTTTTACTTGGTCCAAATGTACCAATGAAATGACATGTAAATAAAAATGGTGCAAAAGTTTTAAGAAAACAGATATGACATTCAGTGTAAAGGCAAGAAATCTAGTGTTGTCAATAATAATGAATAATACAGGTGGCTGGTGACTGCTTATTACCAACTATTAGATGCAGGATAATTTGAAGTTTTATGTACCTCTTCCATTGGGAAATTTAACACATCTATGATCCACTTTAATCAAGAGCCTTTCTGCGGACTTCAGAGAATGAAGCGAATCGACATCACTTCCTGTTGAAAACAATACATTACCATTCTTGCATTCTACCTGTAAAGATACACATATATGACTGGGTAAGTTGAACATAACATGGTGCAACAACTCTAAATGGAGGGTCATCATTCTAATTTTTGAGAGAATGTTGGTTGTATTTCAGTAGATACCTAGATACCGGTAGTGGCCATTTTATCAGTATTATAACACTATTACTATATCTGGGATTTAAAATGTTTTAACATTGTGTTCTAAGCTATTATTCTAAAATTAGTGATTTTTGAAAAATATTAGAACAAGTTTCTCAAAATATGTCACTGTCACACAGAGGATTATGCTGTTTCATGATGCCACGGGACAATAGCTCCATGATTTTTTTCTCACAAATTTTGATTAGGTTTCTATATATTTGTGGTATGTGAACTTGTAGTTTCTGAATTATCAATGAACCTCAGCTGGCTGTCCAAATGCCCACCAACGTAGGGCTCTACGTATTGGAAAATCACAAAGTCATTGTCTCCATGGAAACAAATTTGGCTATACCGGTACCTTGTATTTTTATTTACTTTTTGTTATTTATTTGTAGTAACGCTGCATTCAGGAAAATATCAATAATTTGTATTGTTTTACTAGTAAATTAGCGACATTTCCAACTTCAAATCTCTAAACACAGTTGTGCTTTAATACACGTGTTTGTGTTGTGTGTATTTAAATACGGTGCATGCAATAATTTGCAACTTCCAGTGGTCCGCCTTGCCGTGGACCCCGTCATTGGCATCGACACATTATATATTTTACCAGAGGTACATTACTTGGGGTTTGCAACGCGCATAGTACTGTATGGTGACATCATGTCAAGATCCCATTCAAGTCTCATCTCGTAGATAGCGAGACTGATGCTACGACCTTCTGACATGACAAAGACGGTTTGTAATAAAACAATATACCACATGTATTACCACATTCATAGTGAAAAAATGTAATACATAAAAGATGTACAGAAAATATAGTTATCGTAATCCGTCATATCGTGAGCAGCTATTTTGATCCACCTGGACATCCCAGTAACCTAGTTACCTCGGGCATGCGCATTCGAATTTTTCTAAGTTGGAACGCTTATGCGAGAGCGAGATTGGAACGGGATCTTGGTATCATGTCACCGTAGTTGCAAACCCCAAGTAATGTACCTCTGATTTTACTTACTTGCTCGACCTGCAGCTTCTCTTTGATCTCTTGTACCAGAAAATATTCAAGCCCTTGCACAGTTGTGCAAAAATACGAATTACCTTCAGAGTTCATGACCAAACATCGACTGAGACAGGGAATCCCCACATGTGACCAGGTCAAAGTTCATCTCGTGCCAACGATCTTATATTACGTATACACACCGTTGGTGGCGTATTCAATAGGGAATTCCCGTTGTTTCAGATGCACAATGAGAAAGAAAAAAACAAATCAATCAGTTATCAATGCTAAATAAAATAATCCGATAGAGGAACAAATCGAATCAATATGACAGTGATTCATCTAAGGCACCTACATATAACATATCAAAACAATTTGGTTGATGGTTTTTTTAAAAAAATCATAAATTACCAAAATTAAAAAAAAAATTAACTAAAATAAAAGAACTAAAATTATCGTCATAAAAATATACAAATCTGTGACCCAAAGCACCTACAGATATATCAAAACAATCAGACAGCCATTTTCAATAAGATTTCAAAAATAGCATTTACGCAAATTAACAGAAATGTTGACTAAAATTATCAAATCGAGGGTATTGTCACAAAAGAAACAAATCTGTCTGAGGTCCACTAAGTGTCTACATATAAAATATTTAAGCCATAGGGGATAGCCTTTTTCAAAAAAAAGTTGAAAATATCACTTTTTACCAAAATGACGAAAATATTCATCAAAATTAGTGATTTGAAGATATTGTCACAAAATGAACAAAACTTACCTGGATAACTATATTTCAAGTATTAAAGCAAAAAAACCTACAGTTTTCAAGAAAAAGTTAAAAATATCACTCTTTAACAAAAAAGTCCATCAAAATTAGAGATTTGAAGATAATGTCATGAAATATACAAATCTGAGAGAGGTACAGCAGAGGTAACTATATATATTTATTAATGTAGAAGTTATCACTTTTTAACAAATATTTATCAAAATTAGAATTTTTAAGATATTGTCACAAAATTAAGGTAGACCTATATAGACCAAATATCAAAGCAATGGGACTTACAGTTTTAAAGAAGTCAAAAACGTGAAAAGTTTATGCGAATGCCAACGTGGATATCGACAGACAATCTGTAATATGACTCGCTCTTTTCGCCGAAGTCGAGAGAAAAGCAAAAAAATACTCCATCCCCCTTCTATAAATGACCGAAATAGAACAAGAAATCCTAGGCCAACACAATTTTGTAAATACATGTACTTTTAAAAAGACTTTGGATAGAGAATCAGGTAAGGTAAGTCAAAACACGAATTTGTAATTGGCTAATTTAAAATTTATGCATTTTATAACAGATATCTTTTTCAATAATCACAGCAACATATACACAGAATATTTCACCACGATTTTTTTTTTGCAAGTACTAGTAAAAACATTTATTATTCATACAAAATATTTACATTTTTACAAAACAATTGTAGTCCATAATAGTGTTTTTTTGCTCAGTAATTTTTATAATTTATGTAACTACCATAATAGTTAGGTAAGTAACGGCCAAGAATGGCTTTGCCCCAACATTTTATTATTAGGACAGCTTTCTTTAAGTTGAAATAGCTAAAAACTGGTTACACAAATCCCTAGTAAATTAGAATAATCATATATTACATCAGAATGACAAGGCACGAAAAGAGTTATGAGTATATGAAATGTAGGTTCCAATTATCAGCTCAATTCTGGTAAAAATATCCACACTAGCTGTACACAGTAGTACCATCATAGGAAATTTTAAAAATCAATTCTGATATGATTGTTTCATGGTTTTAAGTCAAAGCATATATACAAGGCAGAATTTGATACGTTGAAAACACCAGTCAACAAACAAGCTGCGTTCTGATTGGTCAGATTGTTAGGGATCGTTAGCCAATCAGACACAGTCTTGTAAGTAGCTTGTCATTGACTCTACTTTGGCCCAATCATTTGGTAATAAATTACATATTCAATTGATTTAAATATTGTTACATCACTTCACGTTGGATGTTTTCACTAATACATCTGTGTAATTGTGTACTTTCTTGGTTGATTACACAAAAACACAGACTGTCAAGTGCTGGTAATTGCTATATATACCGTCATTTACTCTATTATAAGTACATCTCCAACAGAAACACACATAAATCCTAAAATTGCATTAAAGCATGGGGAGTCCTCACCTACGCATGCGTCAGATGGCCATAGCATGTCATTGTTTACAAACAAGCGTCTACCCATTAGCCTTTGAGTTTTAGAGTGTGTTGTTATCATCATTTGAGAATCAATTCCCGCATATTATTGGCTGTATCACCTATGTCATTTACCAAAATACAAATGATACTAAAAAATGAATACAGTTATATTCATTCAGTATATACACAATTATAAAAAGTATAACTGGAAGGATATATGTATGATATTATTTTATACCTTAAAATTACAGTGCTACTATAATGGATTAACTTTTTAAGTTCATGCACCATCTATGTTTTCAATTTGAATAAAATAAATGGATGGGTGCAATAGTAATCACAATCTGATTAAAATCCAATTTTTATATTTTTTATTGTTATTTTTTGTTTATTTATGAATATATTTTGGATTTTACTCTTCGTTATTAAGTATTTTATACATCATAGTTTTGTCGCCTTAAATACATCTAAGGCGACTGAGATACAATATTAAAAAATCTTTAAAAACAGCAAGTAAAACATAAAATACTCATAAATAGAAAAAAATAACAACAAAAAATATATATATAAAAATTGAAAAAAATAAAACAATTAAAAAGCTACTGTTGGTATGATTAGTAACATGATATTAAACTCAATATGTAAACTTTCAGTATGTATGATTTATATACATACTTTATATTAGTTAATGGCAATAAATTACATAAATTTCAATATTCACAATATCAGAAAACAAAATTAGTTAAAAAAAACATATTTGTTTGTAAAATTGCTGTGACACTATGAACAGTAATAATGCACAATGAAAGTATACTGTAAAACATGTCTTTTTTTGCGAGAATGTATTTTTCACGAATTTAGCAAGAGAACTGATTAGCTAATGACTTTATTATAAATTCAAAATGACCAAGGCTTGGAGATTTGTATACAGTAATCCTGAACATAAGAAATCTGGGGCGCTTCCTAATTATACTCGACAGTTTTTCTTTGTTTTTTATGGTATGGAGATGATAACTGCACATTTTTTTTTGGCACATGACAGACAAGTATTGTGAAAACAGGAAATCAACAATGACAAGAGAGATTCGCTAAATCAACATTTCGCTATTACGTCATTTTACCACAATTCGCTAAAATTGCATGTTGCTTTTTCAACAAGTTTTACAGTAATTGTACATTTCATACAGAAAATATGTTCTGTTCACAAAATAGTGGACATTAAAAAATGCATGATAAATTCAAACTGCATGTAACAGATGTTAAATATTAGTGCAAATATTGATAAATATCGAATTAAGAAATGAATTTTAAAATTTTAAAGAACATTTTCAACATGAAAACTCTCATACGGTAAATGTGTACTTAAAATAATACCCAGAATGCAACATGCCTGCAAATCAGCATGAAGAATAAAGCAAACATAGTATAGTACTACGTGTGCTAGTCTGACAGCATGCTGTGCTTTCAAAACAAACTGATATAAAGAAACTGATACACTAGCACCTGTCCAAACCAACAAGAATAGAATCAATAACGTATCAAATAAATAAGAAATATGCATCTATTACCTAGACGAACTTGATTTCATGCTTAGAAGTTTTTCACAATTTTATGAGTGAAAATTCAAAACAGACAACAATTTATCAAAGGAAGACTAAAAACATTAAAAAATTTATGCAAATGAGTCTATTTAAATAAACTCACATAAAGTCACATTTGGCAAAATTGCTTGTGAATATTTCCTGGACCATTGGAGAAAAAAAAAACTAATACCAAAAGAAAATAAAGATTCAGTATTTATTGTATGAATCCGTTTGCAACTGATCATAGGATGGTGGTAGTTCAGAATGATATTCTGGGGGTGCTGTAGGTTGAGTCATTGGGGCCTGCTGGGGATAAGATCCTGGCGGATATTGCACCATTGGCTGTTGAATTGGTTGTTGCATAGGTTGACCAGGTGAGGCTGAAACAAACAAAGAAAATAAATAATTTACATCGGGTAATCTTAAAAGCTATAACAATTATAAATAAATATTATACATGTGATGAATCAGATACTGATATTCTATACCATGAATATACATCGACAAATTATCTGATCATTCAATATCATAGATTTTTATAAAATCTTGTTCAAAAATGTTTATTGGCCACATGAACCAGGAACGACATTGTGTGATGTCCCCATGTGGTTTTACTGTGGTAGTTGTACATGTACATGTCTACCGATAGATTCAATGTATCAAGTATTTCACACATACAGACAGACATGGATTTTGTTCATGTGTGATGTAACTTGTTGTAAAATATTTTTAAATGTAATCGATTTTTCAAAATCACATTTGAGACAATATTACATCAAAGAAAAGACTGCCGTTGCCTGTCCCTGGTGTCTTTGATAGTATTTGTGTGTATTTTTTCTACTGGACCACAGGTGTATATTTTGAGGAATAGGCATGAACATGAAGAATAAATACTAAATGTCCACCAGTCAGTCATTTTTGTTTGAATTGTATATATTGTATTTACATTTACAAATTGTAAATGAAATTATCCTGCATATTTCCCAGACACCGTTTCACATGTTCATGGGGTACCGGTATATACCTCTAAGATTTATATGATGGGTGAGGAAAAAGTCAGATATAAAAGCTCTGCAACAGCATTTATTAAAACAAAATGGCCATCAGTAGACCATTTTGAATCCTATCTGCAGAACAAAGTGATTTAAATGCATCATGCTTTAATAACAAGTTGAAAAAAAAATTTGTACCAACGCCAGGAGATAGATACACTTGTCCACCATGAGCTGGTAAGTACTGTTGGCCTGACTGAACAACAGTGACATTCTGTCCATACTGTGGTTGATACACAACAGTATGCTGGAAAAAAAAAGAAAATATAATGTTAACTGCATCGTACAGTGATGGGGGATTCCACAATATTTTCAAAATTTTCCACTAAGTGAAGGATTTCAATGAATTAGATTGCCAGACTTTCATGAATGCCGTAAAAACATCAAATCATGGAATTCCTTGCAATGATTATTAACCGGTTTACAAAATATATAAATATCAGTTTTTAGAAATGACATGTGTGTTGCCTGCTATGTCTTTCTGTTTGATTTGTTTCCATGCTTCATATTGCGACCCACTATGACTGGATAGGAAATTTTGTCGGTAATTTGTGAAAATGGCCACAACAGGTCAATGTCACAATTAGAATTACAAATTTTGGGGTCAGTAGGAACCAATAAGTGTAATTCCTTGTACTTTGTATGGATGTACATGTATACACAAGACAGAAAATGCATTGAGCAAGCAAGTGTCAATAATATGTTTCTGAGTTCCTGTGTATTTATAATTAAAACAAACCATAATGCAAAAGAAAAACAAGGACTACAGCATAATGAAATGCAAAAACTTTTCAATAATGTGATTAAATGTAGGTCAACAGACAACTTGACATTTCTAGACAGCTGTGTAAAAAATATGTTTAAATACAAAAGAAACAACACACTACACCATAAAACATAACTACTGAATAACATAATACTGCTTGCCAGAAAATCAATTAACTAAATATTGTTTTTGTATTTTTTATATTTGTTTATATATATATATTTTGATTTAATTTGACTGACATCTATGTTTAAAGTTACGACAGCTTTGACAAAACCACAGAGCTCATTGCTATAGAACGTCCCTTTTTGATTGTGTCTTAAGATAGAGAAAGACCCACTCATAATTTTTGAGAAAGTTGGTCATAAATTATTGACAATGTTTATTGGTTTATCACAGGTATGTAAAGTCATGGAGCTAATGACCTACCACATAATAAAATAGCATTATTTTGTGTGTCACAGTTACGGTTTTTGAGAAAATCAAAAATCATTATTATAACACAATGTTAAAGAAAAATTGCATATTGCCTACTACTGTAAAATACCTTTTTGCTTGAAATTAATTTTCGCTATTTTCGTTGTAGGAATGATTCAGTAAAAATAAAATCCAGCAAATATACCTTTTTCCCTATATTTTACATTCAATTCACCAAAAATGAGTGAAAATAAATACCATACAAAACACCCAAAAAGTCTATTCAGCGAAAAATAATTCCAGCTAAAATAAAGTATTTTACAGTATTTAAAATGTGACATAATATCTCTGCCATAGAAACTAAAAAGCATTATTAAAGGTAAAAGCATTATTATAATAACTATTAACAATCAACCAAAATACAACCATTATTTTCTCAAAAATAAGGCTGGTGTATGTGAATATTCTTATATTGCCTTGGAGTACAATTTATTGCAAAAAGAATAAATTCTGGGTATTTTCATTTTATGAGTAGGCTTCTACATTAAAATTAGATCTAGAAAGAATGACCCATTTATATTTTATCTGCAAATATTGTGATTTTGTGCACATCAATTTCTGGTATATGTTCAAACTGAATAAAATGAATGGTACATCCTTGTTTCCAAGAAATTGAGAACAAAATCTATAACCAACAAAAAAAACCCAGAAAAGTATTTTACAGTATTTAAAATGTGACATAATATCTCTGCCATAGAAACTAAAAAGCATTATTAAAGGTAAAAGCATTATTATAATAACTATTAACAATCAACCAAAATACAACCATTATTTTCTCAAAAATAAGGCTGGTGTATGTGAATATTCTTATATTGCCTTGGAGTACAATTTATTGCAAAAAGAATAAATTCTGGGTATTTTCATTTTATGAGTAGGCTTCTACATTAAAATTAGATCTAGAAAAAATGACCCATTTATATTTTATCTGCAAATATTGTGATTTTGTGCACATCAATTTCTGGTATATGTTCAAACTGAATAAAATGAATGGTACAATAAAGTAAGCAACATAACGAAAACAATTATGCATTAGTGCCAAAATTTCAATGGAAAAACAAAAGTCCAAACTCACCTGTGTGGCTTGGGCTGGACGACTTATTGCACAACATGCAACAATTGAGTAAGAAAACACCAATACACATTCCAGAAATGCAAGAAAAACAGATATCGAACTGAGTGTTATACTGGTCGTGTAACCTTGGCGGGTGGATAGTTCATAATAATCACAGTCCCTCCAAATGTCATAGGGATCACAAATCCAATGATAATTAGCTCTCTCATCTGCCACTGCAGTGATAGCCAAGCACCAACCAGCAAATGATATGATCACTGTAATAATGCTAAATACCAGGAAAGTTGTCAACTAGAAAAGGAATATGAAAAACAACAATGACATTTTTGACAAATTATAGGTCAATATTCTAATCACAAATTTTGTTTATTGATACATGAAAAAAGACTTGATACAAAAATATCTATGATCACAAATTTGTTTCTTATTTAAAATCCAAAGAAACAACAATTATTGTATAACATTTTTTATTTATCAGTAAGTTTTATTTATCAAATAAGCTTCAACTATCTGCATTTCTTTGATTACATTAGAGTAAATGTTGATATACCCTAGTAATTAAACAAAAGAAGAGGATGGCCGTATGTGACATGCTTAAGGTAGTAAAAAAAAACAAGAATTTTTTTTTTTTTTTTTCAAATATATTTGAATTATGAAACATTATATATTGCGTAATTTTTTTTATCGTTAGTCAAAATTTACTTTACGCATCAATACATTTGGTGCAAAACTTCAGAATATTTCCTTGAAGCCAGCTATGGGTACAATCCCTCCACACTGTGCTATGGGTAAACACTTTCTCAGTACCAGGTTCAGTGACAGACTGAATTTTTTTAAGTTTAACCACAACTTGTAATTGAGCAAGGAATGGTTCTTACCCATCCTTTGTTTCTGGTATCTTCAGTTGCCTTACCAGCTACATAGGAACATACACCAGTAAATGCCACCTAGAAAATAGCAATGATAACATGTATTACAATCTACCTGGTATTTTGTAATTGTGACATTCATATCAGTGTATTGGTAAATTAGATAAATAATTTGCACAAAATTGAAGCATCATTTCATGATTAAGAAGGTTAGGGTAGAATTGAAAATTATATGTCATCTTCTTCATGCTTTTATTACTACAATTAGAATAAACAAAAAAAAGGGGGGGGGGTCATTGAAAAATTTTGAGAGAAATGATTAAATTAAGTAAAAAAAAAATGTATGTAAAAGTATGATGATTAGTTTTTATGTTCACCAACTTTAATATGTAACATCAGACCTCCCCACAATTGCAAAAATTTCAAAAACCCACTTTACTACAATTTCTACTGGTACAGTGAAGTAAATCTGAACTTTAGCTTATGAATATATTTATGCAAATTTGTAAATGCCGATTATTAGCAGTCATTCAAATTCAATATTTCATAGTGATTGCCTTAACATGTCTATGCCAAATGTTCACGTATATGCCTTTTGCATGAAATAGCAGCTGCGACTGCCAAGTTATTCAAAATGAGGCATTTGCTGATTGGATAATGATGAACAAACTAGTTAAAGGGGGAGCAGTCATCACGTCGTGTCCTGTTTAATATGGGACTCATAGCAACGTACACAACACGTGTGAAATACATCGGTTATTTACATGGAATTCGAACACGCGCTGCGCGACAATTGCTGCCCTTTAACATAAATTTGAACTTATAATGATGATGTCACAATGCCATTTCTTGATTGGTCAATTTGAATTCTAGCATTCATTTTGATTTATAGAAATGTAAAATTTAAAACATTTATAACAACCCAAGATTTATGCTCTTCACTGTGTACAAGACAAAACTTACAAAAGCACCGGTCCAGATTTGTTCTGAAGCATACTTTATAGGTGATAAACCCAATGGTATACGCATGACACCAAGAACCACACTGAGAAGACCCAAAAATATGAGTGATATTCCTATGTGGCGTAGGGTCCTATTGGATATCCGACAATCACACATGACTCTGAATTGACAGATAAAGAAAACATGAATTAAAAATCTGGCGTACATGTTAAGATGATATTACGCTACACATAACAGCTACCAATGCCTGTAGAACTGGGAAATGTACATTATGTCAAACATGATCATAAATACATGAAAAAACAATGGTGTGGGGTGGGGTGGGATTGCAGGTGGTGTTGGTTGAGCCAGTACCTCAATACCATTTTAGGGGTGGATATCAAACACAAAGTTCTATTGCTGTTTTTTATTTCATGTTATGAACATAATACAATCGATTGGGTGGGTGTGGCTCTCAAATCTGTTTTCCTGCTAAGAAAGTCTTTTTCAGTTGTGGCTGGTTGGAATGAATATATGCTAAAGAATCTTTTCATATTGCAAGGGATGTTTTCAAATTAGAGGTTATCTTTGGGTAAACTCAGAACAGATTCCTACTATAATATAATGAGTAAGGCTTGCCTTCCGATTCTGTAAGAAAATTACAGCACATGCTGATAGTCTTGGGTCATCGCACACACAACATGGCTACAATTCGTTTTGGTTGAAATCCGTTAATAATAAAGTGATGTTGCTTACATTAAAAGTTGCTAATTCTATTGGTCATGTCAATCTTCACTACAAAGAGTATGTGACGAGATGGATTTCAGACCCAGAAAAAATTTCTCAGCTTTTGAACATTGCAATTGAGCCTCACATTTTAAATATGCTAATCAACGCCTGTGTTATTTTTTGGCCTTATTCCTTTCAGCATCATTGAGTAATTGTTTTTTGCCAAGTCATTTCATAAATATTATTCTTATTCCAATTGTTAAGAACAAAACAGGTGACCTGACCAGCAAGGATAACTATAGACTGATTCATATATTTACAGTTACAGTTACATGTATATCGAAAGTCCTTGAAATTATTATTGTTAGAACGAATAATTGTTTCTCCGTATGGAAAACGTTCAATTTGGTTTCAAAATATCTCACTTTACCAACTTTTGCATCTATGCTATGAAAAAAATAATCAATTTTTATTGATCTTATAATAGTCCAGTGTTTGTTTCTTTGTTTTTTAGATGCAGCTAAGACTTTTGACCATGTCAATCACTGGTCACTTTTTACTTGAAGCTTAATAGGGGATATATTACCTAGTTATATTATTTGTATTTTTAATATCTGGTATCGTACATATGAGAGCAAATACCTTTACTTAGGAAATTTAATAATTGTAGTACCAATGTCAAATTATTTTTCTTTTGTACGTTCAATACCAATATGTGTAGCTCACAGTCATGGTCAGTGTACCATCGTAAATCTGTCGATAAACCGACTAAGGGTGGCATACAACAACGTATTTCTGATTTTTAATGGCGATTGAGCAGGATTGTAGCGCGATTGGAATTCCCACAGTTGGTGCATTAAGACGAAAATTGTGCTATTCATTTTTTAATCGTCACTAAACCTGTCAGAACTCTGTTATTATTAATTATTGTACTCCGACCCTCATGTTATTTCTAAGATGAGTCTATTGTACAGAAAATTGTTATTTTTCTAAAAATAGATTCATTTGTAATATTCTACGTAGTGTGTTGTTATGTTATTTGATTTTTATCCTGAAATAAAGTACATAATAATAAATAAATAAATAAATAAATCCCCCCCCCCTCTACTACAACACACACAAACACACAGTACGTATATTATTCGACCCTATATATTCTAAGGCTAGCTCACTGCATGTACATACGACCCTAATGATTGTCGTGTATAAATAAATACAGGTTGTTTTTTTTACTACGCTTGACGTGCGAGAAACCGATGAATAAGCGAATGACAAGGTGACATAATAGTCATATGAGCCACAGTCTGTTGATGGACTGTATACCCACACCCTGACCGATATAACCATGGAATATATCGTAGTTTCCAGGGGGTCACTATGGTTTAACCACGAGTGAATCGCGTAACCACGACTTACCTTAAGATTCACCGACCTTATATGAGTGTAGTTATTTCCTTAAATCGGGTAAATATCACAAACATACGACGTATGCCTTATAGTTATACGGTCACAGCTCCGACATTCACTACTTCCCTTTCGCTCGTTCACTTTCTGTAAGACAGCGCCCTCACAATCTATAATAATTTTGTTGTACATTGTTTCCGTGTTTGAAACGAAGGACCACCAAGAAACGAAGGACGGAAGGATCTACATTGCAAATAGGGGTGGTGTACAAAAATAACTCTTTCCGGTAAACTATGCGGTAACGATTACATTCACAATAAATTGTTACCCACAGCCTATTAACACTATTGACCTTAAAAATGGTCTATGTTAATACATACCACGGTTGATAGGTAAAAGCTATCATTTGAAATGTAACATTCTGTTCCTCTTCGATAGTGCAATAATTATCGAGAATAAAAAAATACGCATGAAAGTATTTAAAGTGCCTGTGAAATGCCCACACACACGTTTCCCATTTTAGATCTGTGTCCCATTGTTATTGATTTTTGTTGTTGAAAATGATTACTTGTATCCAAGTAAATTTGAGATATTTCTAGTGACTGTTTCCGAATTTCCGACGCTCGCTGAAGTAAAGTGCGCCATCCAATGTAAAAATTTGAGAGGAAGCCATACTCTTGTGCCGTACTTTTATAACAATGCGTCATTCAACCAAAGACTATCTTCTCTATAGTCTTTGATTTGAAAGAAAGAGTTTTTTTTAAAGAAATATATTCCGTCACGGTGCCAGCCTAAGTTTACCGAGGCGGATTTCAGAAGAGAGAGAGACGTCGGGTAAGTTTTTCAAATGATTTGACTTTTATGTGATCCTGAATATCGCTTTATAGAGACCATTTAGTTCGTGTAAGAAGTAGCAATAATTTTGATAATGACGCGAACACGAAACGTCGGACAAATAGGAAATTGCGCAGCACTTACGCCCTGCTAATTGTTTTCATTTTCGCAGGCAAAAAGTTTCTGAATCGTTCGGTGATTGGTGTTGAATGTCGAATTCACATTTCTGTTACCTTTACTTGCAGCTTGATCTGCGTAATAATTTATGGAATAAGAATCCGGGCTTGGGAAGTCAATGTCTTAAAGTAAATTTTTAATTTTATTATTATTATTATTATTATTATTATTATTATTATTATTATTATTATTATTATTATTATTATTATTATTATTATTATTATTATTTTTATTATTATTTTTATTATTATTATGGTTTTATTTCAGACATAGTCCATATATAAAGAAAAAAGATACAAACAAATATGTAATAAA